TACCCTGACCAATCGTATGCTTCCTCATGGTAAATATTTTGAAATCTGTGTATATGCCAAATTGATTGTTTGTTCAGTTTGTTGAACAGTAATATAATTTTTTCAAGATGCGCTTGCCAATTATTTTAAATCTTAACTTGTTTATATGGATTGTGCTAATATTAAAGTTGAGTTTATGTTTTAAATATAGAGCGAGGCTAGTCATTGTTGTTTAACTGTACGGCACTGAATTGCAATCTAGAAAGAGCTATGGAACTTCCATAGGTAGTTGCTATGGAAATTTTGCCTAATTACGGAAGTACAGAAATCAACAAAAATACTATAGAAATTTATCATACTGTAGGCAATAGATATAAATACTGTAAATGATATCATTTATTACAGAATATAAGCCACAATATTAGCACGTTTAATAAATACAAAATACAATATCTAGTTGTTGCTGATTCGAATGTAAGGACTGGAGTGAGTTAATTAAGAAAGTATATAAATATATTTATACACACAGAAGAGAATAAACAGCATTCGTGTCTCACAACACGATTGAGATGTTTGGGTAATTTAATTAGTTACTGGGCTTACCCCAGAGGGAATGACCACTAATATATGGTGTGTGTTGTTGCATGAAACTTGCTTGGTATTTGTTGTTTAGAAGACACCCTAGCTACAGTAGTATGGTTGCTACAGTACTATAGTTAAAATGCAACATTAAAGTTGATGGTAAACCTGTATATTGTTTCATGTGTATTTTTAAATACACATGAAACAATATACAGGTTTATTGTTTCATGTGTATTTTTAAATAGTTCCACGGCTTACTAGCATGCTAACAGAGTGTATTCAACGTTATTTTAATCTGTTCAATATTGTCAAAAACAAATGACTTTTCCATTTTTAGGATCTGTGGCTACATTGTCCCTAGACAACTCATATTTGTCAGATTACCGATAAATTATTTTGAAAACTAAGAAACAGTGGCATGTAAGTCATCATCCTGTTCCATTTGTTTAAAATTCCATAGCTATTATTATGCTGCAATTTAAGCAACACATATTTTGTCCTCAAGACAAATTATGCAGTGCTATGGAAATTTGGTATTTATTATTAACATTTGAAGACATGTTTACTGAAATGCATTTTACTAACTGGAGAAGTCTGCAAGCTTATTAAAATTCTTCTTGTGATTTATACATAATTAAATAAAAAAAGGTGCACATAATGGCAAGGACAGATTTTAAACATATACAAGGTCATCCATTTTTCTCATAGGCCTATATTTAGGAGTAGGCCTACAAAACATACAGTATAAAGTAGGGGTAGTGGTCAACAGTAAGTACTCTTTTATAAAAATGGGAAAAAAAATTATGATATCAGACCAACAACAACCATCATTTTATTATTATTTACTCTTTTTGGAGAAAAGGTAAAGAAAGGAGGAGCCACAGACAGAGTGTTTAGTACTCTTTTAATGGTGAAAACAATGGATGCCTACTAATATAATAAAACATAAAAAAATACATAAGTATGTGATATATTTACAGTACAACATTATTATGCTAATAACATGCGTATACTACAGCACATTGCAAACTAATACTCACAATAATATTTACAATGCAATCATCCAACCAATAGACTTTAAACCAGACTCAAAAGATAAGACAAATAATACTGGATTGATAACCTTATCAGATGACCCAGACTTTAATATCAATGTTCTATGACATCATCAACGACCCAGACAGCTATCTCAGAGATCTGTGTTGCGCTTAAAGGTCACTGACCTTTGAGAAATGCAAATCAAGGGAACTTTCCAGAGGATAAATGACTTGACAATATACCATGATACAGAAAAATTAGGTGTCGTTCAACATTATCATCTTCACAAGTGTACAAACAATACGCTGGGGGAAGAGGGTAGACAGATCTGTCTTACATGCATAACAATAACATGTTGATTCAAATATGCAATATGTAAAATACCGTAATGGTAAAATTATAATTTAACCATGGATATATCATTTTTAAGCAACCAAGTATATTGCTTTAGTCAAGACTTCACAAAAAATATGGAGAATGGTTTTGCTGCAAATTCAACATTTTTTGTACACTTTCAGAGGGAATGGAGTGGGTACCAAAAAAGTACTGTTTGTACACTTGTGAAACTGTTGATAATTGTGAATGACCGCTTATGAATCAGAGGTCATACAGGTACATGCAAATCATACTGGATTACACCCTGGACCAAGTGGCATTTCCTAAGTTTACGCCTTTATGAGTCCAGGTGAGTCAAATGATGATGAAAATCATCATTAAATCCAAGAATATTTTATGTGAAGTTCCCCTAACCTTTTACTGACTGTAATCCTCACAAGATAGGCAGGTTAAAAAGGAAAATGTTTGAATAAAATCTGTCGGATGACGGTAAACTGTTGTTGCTGAAGGTCCTTAAGGACCTAGCAAAAATGTTTAATTTCAATTTGGAAGGATCTGAAACTGTAAGTTGTCATAAGATGGCCTGTTCTTTGTAGCATTATCTATTTTGAAAACAACATGATCTCTCAAAATACTTGAGTCCCTTGGGTATACGGGATATGTCATTTTAAAGCCTGCCATTGAATGCTGGCAAAGCATCCAGACCTTTACTGCATTGCTAAACAGCCGGAATGGCAAAATAAACAGGTAGTATTTTTATAAGACAGAAACCATTTGCAACTTGCAGTTTCACTCAAAATAAAATATTTATTTTGTTCAATTTTTTCACAGTATTTTATATTGTACAAATCTGTCTTCCGATTCAAGAGACAATTAAGTACACAAATATTACAAATGTAAATTGCAATATAGGTGTTTGTCATACAAATTAAATTTAAATATTAAATCAACATTTGAAACTAAACTATGCTAGGCCTATGCCCTAAATCGATTATCAGAATATTTCATGAAATCATTACTTGTTTGTGTAGCACCAGGTTGGTTGTTTGTTTGTAGTATGATTTGAATAAAATAAAATATTTGAATTCCTTAAAATATGTTGTGTATAATTAATAAATTACACCTTCTCTAAATTCCAAGAGAACTACAGTGTGCTATCGAAAGTGAACTTCAGTGAAGCGGACTACCTAGAGCTAGTAATATTCATGCATGGCTGGGCTAGACAATTAGAGAAGTACGCTGTGGGACCTATTGACGACAGGCTGCCTACCGACCGTACTAGGTAGGCCCTACCGACTGAATGAATGCAAGTCACTAAAAAATGGACAAGAAAACTAATAATAAAAATGACTTTACGAAAACATGGAACGGTTAAACTATGTATGACTCGTAAACTAAAGCCCCAATATCCTATGGATTTAATTACTAGTATTGCAGGAAACTGTCATTACCTACCGAACATTTAAACCATCAGAGAATTTGCCAGTCAAATGTGTCACACACCAAACGCTACCGGTGTGTGAGTTTTCACTTCCGCATTGGAAGCTCCAATAACCGATACGCACCATTGCACTAAAAAAACCATGGGCGTGGCAAATTTAAACAATTTAAATAATCACAAAATATACATTTGCCGCTTTTTCTACATCGAATTCCAACTAAAAATGCTTGTTTCATCACATTCAATTAGCTTTATTCGAATTAAAAAAGGTGTCAAAGTCATTTTCAATTGTCTTCAGTATACATTCACCAACAATAAGTTGTTTTTTTTTGTTTTTTTTTAATGGCATTTCCACAAGTAGTACAATATGTTATGTTTGCCATTTTACTATCGAACAGTGTACATATTTCGCTTATGAATATTCACAGTAACATTGTTGTTAATTATTTTTGTTGGGGTGTTTAGGGAAGATAGGCCTAGTCAAATAAATTTATAAATCAAACAATAAGAAAACGGTAGCACTTTATAGACTAGTTGAAATATTTATTGTCACAGTGACAATAAATATTTCAACTAGTGACAATAAATATTTCAACTAGTCTATAAAGTGCTACCGTTTTCTTATTGTTTGATTACTGTTAGACTAGTACGGCTCACCATATTATTTAATTTTATAAATATTTGAATCGAATTCTACCACCACTGCCCACTGGAGTTGGAGCGGAGTCCGTAATTGACAGAGGGCGCTATGTATGTTGCTTTAATTATCACAGCGAATGCTAACTCCCTCGAATAAACTATTCCTCCAGAGGCGCCTGGGGCGTTAATTTTTTTCTCGAATAAACGCCCCTCTAAATGACAAAAGGGCAGAAAAATCACAGTAGAGTAGGCCTAGTAGTTGTAGTAGTTGTAGTAAATGAC